GTTTACGAATTTATTTCTTTTGTTACTTTATGGAGTTGGTGAACTGGGAGCAGGACTGTTGTCTCATTTCGAATATTTCTTGAAAAATTAACGAAGCTACTTTTCAACACTTTGCACTCCGAGAAAATTTGAAGCTTTGGTTTGGAAGGAAGAAATTTCAACGTTTACGAATTTATCATAATACGTAATTACGTAATATCATCAGTGCGAGATTATCAGTGATCCATAGAATTCTTGATTGCCCAAAACACAGTGGAAAAAGTAGAGAACATAATATAAAGAAAAATACAGAGTCGTTAATGACCTAACGTCAATTTTCTCTTACCATTTAAGAATATTCAACGAATGATTAATCAAAGTGGTTGCATTATACCCCTTTAATTGAGCCCCGGTTAGTTATGCGAAACGCTTGAATTTATCTGGTAAAAGGAGGTTACAAATGAATTATTCTCAGCCCGGAAAAGAACTCTCGCGACCTGTCTCTACGTCCGTTATTCTCATTGATATTCCGTGACGCGACGACGGGTTGTATTCGAAGCGGAACTTTTAGCCAAGTAACGTAGCTTTTGAGTGTATCGTGTCATTTTGTTGCACAAGTTCACAAAGTAAGCGTCGCTAGCAAGGATTCAATTGACACCCGGAATTACGTTATTTTATACTCGCTTTGAAACGAATTCGCTTCGAAAATGAACCGCATAATGGTTATTCTCGTTTCCAATTCTACGGTTTCAAAGTTACCGCATGTAATCGAAATATTGAATAGTGTAGGAGTTTTGAACGCGGCGGGTTCACCGCAAATTAATGTAGTCTTTTGCGATAATTTCACGTGTTACGGGTGATATAACATGCACATTTAGTTACGAGACAAATAAGAGGTGGGATAAATATGGAAATTTATTGTGAAATGTAGTTTGTGTGTTGTTATGTTAGAATGAAAGCATATGCCAATTATAGCGATATTATGTACTAGATTCACATGAAAGGTATTAAAGTGCAGTCCGTTAATTGTAGGTTTAAATAAAAATGTATTAAATTCTGTCGAGTAAGCGAAGAATAAATGAAAATATTTTTCAACGTGCTAAAATTTATTAAACTTCAGTGTGCAACGTAAAATTATAACGGTACACTTTGTTCTTCATTAAACAATATCAACGAATTAAAATTATAGTATTTATTATTATTTATTCTTCACCGAAGGTATGTCTTCATTAACACTAGAACTACCGACTGGGTCGAAATGTCCCATTAGAATCTTTCGAAAAAGCGTGAATGTTCAGTACTGGTAAGTATTATCGTTTGTAACTTTCCGAATTTATTTTCTACATGTACGCTTCCATTTGTGTCGATATGAATCGAATTTTCCAATCACGGTTTACCTACATAAAAATTCACTTTTGGAAAGTCGCTAATGGGTCATTTTGACTCGGCTGGTAGTTCTAGTGTTAACACTATATTGCACTGTTGTGCGTTCTTTATTTTAGAAAAAAAAATATGATGCGTCGAAGTTTCACGATACGTTTCATTTTGATCGGAAAAAGAACTGAGATAAAATAGCTATTAAATTTTTCCGAGTGAAATTCTGGCGAGTTTGAATAGTAGCACGGAACAACGAGCACGTTTGTGATAAAAATTGCTTTATGAATCGATTATCTTTGAACGGTTTCCTATTACTCACGCCTATTAAAGTACCTAAAAAATATCCTCATTAAGAATTGTCCTCACAGAATTCGGATGATTGGATAGCATCGTATCGAAAAGCATTCACTATGGACCAACTCGGTTTCAATCTATATGCAAAATTGCTCTTCGCTGTTCAAGAATAATGAAGGATCAATGTTAGTAATTGTCACGTGACGTTTTAGGATCGAATCGCAAATACGTTGAAAAGGTGAAGAAAGAATACGCGATTTATTCTTCAAATAGTCACAAAGAAGTTTGCTAGTACCAGTTTTATTAATCTTTCTGTAAAACGTATCATTGTTCCTTTTTTGTTTACCAATTAAAATAAGAAAACGACTAATTTCGTATTAAGCAAGAATGTTTTAAGAAAATTTTAGTATCCTTCTACAGCTTCGTCTTTAGTAAGTTACAATATTACTGAAAATGTAATAAATTGTACGCGTAAGTGTCTTATCTTGCGTCTGGAATGACATTTCACGATAAACATTTGTCGATTCGACGATCATTTGTAATATAACATCGACATTTATAGTTTTCAGTAGAAAAACGTACGGAATCTGGGACGACCGAGCGCACATCGTTGACACGTACTACTTAATTTCGCGAGCACCAGACGAAATTCATTTGGTCGTCGATTTTTATTAACGAATAATTTCTTTTAATTTATATTCATCAATATATCAGTATTTATAATATTTTCCCTTAGTCATACTTGTAATGTTTTTTCTACTTCTTTCTGCTCACATTGAACATTTTTTTGGTTAGAAAAATATAGTTAAAATGCTCCTTTAATTTTCTACCTTTACCAATCTTGATTTTTTATGCTCATTTTTACGCACGTGTACATACCTGTAGCAATACGGCCGGTGGCATCACTGCCAAGCCAACCAATAAATCCGCAGCGGCCAAACTGGATACGAAACAATTAGTAACAGACCGTAGCCGCCTAGTTGTTATCACAGCAGCAATTACTAAAGTGTTGCCCACCTAGGATACAATAAAAAACAGAAATTTTACTATGTGCAACCCGTCAAGCAGCGTTGATTGCAACTTTAGTGCGTCACAAAGGCTTCATTAACCGTGTTACGTACACTTAACCTACCACTTTGCGATAATAATGCTGATATATCAGGATTGCTCTAAAACAGCCTGGCCATTAATAACAAGATAAATCAACTCAGGCGAGATAAAAGTCGAAAATATTTGTCGAATTATTTTACGAATAAACGATCGTAGTATATATTCGAAGTGAAAAGTTTTGAGAATGACAGAATGGAAAATGGGAAAAAGATACTCTGAGATAAACTTTTAATTTAAGTTTGCGCTTATCTCTTGGAACAAACGGAAGATCTGAGATGTCAGAAATTGGCTCGCGTTAATTATTCGTCAGTGAGACGAATATGTTCGTAAAAAAACAATGAGAAATACTTCAGTCTATTTAAACATGCAATTCAGTATACTACTCGTGTAAGAGTGACTTAATTTTTGATTTACGAAAGATATCCAGGATAGTAATGCAAAAGTGAAACTTTTAGTCCAGCCAATTAGTATGCAAAAACTTTCGAGTATCTGAAGCGACCTATCTTCCTGGAATTCAGAATAGTGAGAAAAGGCAAACGCGGAGGAACGAATTCCAACTAAATCAAATTCCACGCAAAATCTCAGTTCACATTCTAATACCTTATCTACAAGCAAATGCATGCTCAGAAATATCTCGGAAACCTTCAAAACTGTACAGCCGAAAACACGAGCAATTTCCCTCTTCGCCTAGTATTCTCGATTCGAAGAATGCTTTAAAATCACATACCGGGTGTCTTAGTTGATTCTGATCAAACTTTGTCGGTGTATTCTATGGGTATAGGTGAGAAGAGAACGTTATATAAACATAGATCGTTTGAAGCTTCGTTAAAAAGTTATCGTTGATTTTCGGGGCAAAATGGCATTATTAGCTTAAGGTATAACTATATAGTGCCTTACATAAAAGAGAATTTTGTAGAAATTTTACTTTATCCATCGTTATCCAGAATTCGACTTTTTTGACTTACACCTAACGTTTAGTATGTTCAGTACTGGTAAGTATTATCGTTTGTAACTTTCCGAATTTATTTTCTACATGTACGCTTCCATTTGTGTCGATATGAATCGAATTTTCCAATCACGGTTTACCTACATAAAAATTCACTTTTGGAAAGTCGCTAATGGGTCATTTTGACTCGGCTGGTAGTTCTAGTGTTAACACTATATTGCACTGTTGTGCGTTCTTTATTTTAGAAAAAAAAAATATGATGCGTCGAAGTTTCACGATACGTTTCATTTTGATCGGAAAAAGAACTGAGATAAAATAGCTATTAAATTTTTCCGAGTGAAATTCTGGCGAGTTTGAATAGTAGCACGGAACAACGAGCACGTTTGTGATAAAAATTGCTTTATGAATCGATTATCTTTGAACGGTTTCCTATTACTCACGCCTATTAAAGTACCTAAAAAATATCCTCATTAAGAATTGTCCTCACAGAATTCGGATGATTGGATAGCATCGTATCGAAAAGCATTCACTATGGACCAACTCGGTTTCAATCTATATGCAAAATTGCTCTTCGCTGTTCAAGAATAATGAAGGATCAATGTTAGTAATTGTCACGTGACGTTTTAGGATCGAATCGCAAATACGTTGAAAAGGTGAAGAAAGAATACGCGATTTATTCTTCAAATAGTCACAAAGAAGTTTGCTAGTACCAGTTTTATTAATCTTTCTATAAAACGTATCATTGTTCCTTTTTTGTTTACCAATTAAAATAAGAAAACGACTAATTTCGTATTAAGCAAGAATGTTTTAAGAAAATTTTAGTATCCTTCTACAGCTTCGTCTTTAGTAAGTTACAATATTACTGAAAATGTAATAAATTGTACGCGTAAGTGTCTTATCTTGCGTCTGGAATGACATTTCACGATAAACATTTGTCGATTCGACGATCATTTGTAATATAACATCGACATTTATAGTTTTCAGTAGAAAAACGTACGGAATCTGGGACGACGGAGCGCACATCGTTGACACGTACTACTTAATTTCGCGAGCACCAGACGAAATTCATTTGGTCGTCGATTTTTATTAACGAATAATTTCTTTTAATTTATATTCATCAATATATCAGTATTTATAATATTTTCCCTTAGTCATACTTGTAATGTTTTTTCTACTTCTTTCTGCTCACATTGAACATTTTTTTGGTTAGAAAAATATAGTTAAAATGCTCCTTTAATTTTCTACCTTTACCAATCTTGATTTTTTATGCTCATTTTTACGCACGTATACATACCTGTAGCAATACGGCCGGTGGCATCACTGCCAAGCCAACCAATAAATCCGCAGCGGCCAAACTGGATACGAAACAATTAGTAACAGACCGTAGCCGCCTAGTTGTTATCACAGCAGCAATTACTAAAGTGTTGCCCACCTAGGATACAATAAAAAACAGAAATTTTACTATGTGCAACCCGTCAAGCAGCGTTGATTGCAACTTTAGTGCGTCACAAAGGCTTCATTAACCGTGTTACGTACACTTAACCTACCACTTTGCGATAATAATGCTGATATATCAGGATTGCTCTAAAACAGCCTGGCCATTAATAACAAGATAAATCAACTCAGGCGAGATAAAAGTCGAAAACATTTGTCGAATTATTTTACGAATAAACGATCGTAGTATATATTCGAAGTGAAAAGTTTTGAGAATGACAGAATGGAAAATGGGAAAATGATACTCTGAGATAAACTTTTAATTTAAGTTTGCGCTTATCTCTTGGAACAAACGGAAGATCTGAGATGTCAGAAATTGGCTCGCGTTAATTATTCGTCAGTGAGACGAATATGTTCGTTAAAAAACAATGAGAAATACTTCAGTCTATTTAAACATGCAATTCAGTATACTACTCGTGTAAGAGTGACTTAATTTTTGATTTACGAAAGATATCCAGGATAGTAATGCAAAAGTGAAACTTTTAGTCCAGCCAATTAGTATGCAAAAACTTTCGAGTATCTGAAGCGACCTATCTTCCTGGAATTCAGAATAGTGAGAAAAGGCAAACGCGGAGGAACGAATTCCAACTAAATCAAATTCCACGCAAAATCTCAGTTCACATTCTAATACCTTATCTACAAGCAAATGCATGCTCAGAAATATCTCGGAAACCTTCAAAACTGTACAGCCGAAAACACGAGCAATTTCCCTCTTCGCCTAGTATTCTCGATTCGAAGAATGCTTTAAAATCACATACCGGGTGTCTTAGTTGATTCTGATCAAACTTTGTCGGTGTATTCTATGGGTATAGGTGAGAAGAGAACGTTATATAAACATAGATCGTTTGAAGCTTCGTTAAAAAGTTATCGTTGATTTTCGGGGCAAAATGGCATTATTAGCTTAAGGTATAACTATATAGTGCCTTACATAAAAGAGAATTTTGTAGAAATTTTACTTTATCCATCGTTATCCAGAATTCGACTTTTTTGACTTACACCTAACGTTTAGTATGCGCTGCCCTTACGGGCATTTCGAATTGTACACTGCCCTCACGGGTATTCAGAGATGTGCACTGCCCTTGCGGGCATTTAAAGATGTGCACTGCCCTTGCGGGCATTTAAAGATGTGCACTGCCCTTGCGGGCATTTAGAGATCTGCACCGTCCTTACGGACATTTCGAGTTCCCCAGTATAATGTTTTATTCCTCCGTTCAGCAAACATCTACATCCCGGCCAAACCACCGGCAAATAGAACCGATCCGTCCAAATCCACCAGACTGCTCGACGGGGATTTAAACCCCAACTGACCTAACGATTCTTTTTTCACTTGGGTTTCAATTTCTAGGCGTTAGCAACGTCTGTACCAAAGTCTTTCCAAAATTCAATCCGACTATATCTAGCTGACAACTGCAAACTAAGGTTCCTTCGAACATACAGTGTACGTCTAATCGTTGCTTACTATAGTGACGAAGATCAACATGATGAACAGGCCCGCCAGACCGAGATCCGTCCAACTTGGTAGGTAGTATTCCGTTTGCGTATCTCTGTTGTCCGTCGACACCGTGTGATTCCTTTGATAAACGTCCCCATAGTAATTGGCCGTCTGATTCGCCATGGCGCTTTACCCCCGGTCCATTGACGATGATTTCTGCTCAGCAATTTGCGCATTTCCGGGCATCATGCAGCTCCCTGCAAGATAATATATTTCACTTGGATAAAAGATAAACGGTCTCCTCAACGATCGATCGATCGACCGATCGATCCACCCGTGAGAACGCACGGATACCGCCTCAAGAGAGAAATCGCCCTTCTTCAATTACTTCCCTCGCGTTGATCACGGCTGAACGTTTCCGGGTTTTACCGTCGTCGCGACCATTCATTCTTTTGTCGGCGAGAAATTACGAGTGGATAAAAGGGGCCGATGCATTTTCAGGGAAACATCTGAAATAGGCCGACGCTTAAATGCTCTTTGTACTTCTTTTTCTCTTTTTCTCAATTTAATTTACCGGCGATTCCACGTTGACCCTTTGAACTCCAAATTTTTTTTAAGGTTCTTTTCAATAACTCCCTATTTTATTTCAAGAATTTTAGTTGAAATGCACTTCAAACGACGTCTGGTCGATAGGAACCTGTTTAAACAATTTTATTTACTAATTATATTGAAAATAGCATTAAGGGTCGTATAGGTGTGTACCTATTGCTCATCCAGGTAAAAAGAAGTGTTGCAAAATGTAGCACATATTTAAACTGGCAGTTTAAAAATTACTTCATTCATACCTGTGAATAAAACTGTGAATAAAAGGAGTCCAAAGGGTTAAATATCTCCGTAAATGACGAGTATAAATAACAAAAGTATGAGAAATGTTTCAATTATTTCGTTGGAATAAACTTTTGTTATCTCTACTACTTTTCTCTTAATCCCCGATCAATTATCGCATTTCGTCGTATTCTATTAAATAATAACGTCATGTACATATGAATGCGATTGAAACGTCAATTACCCGGGAAATAAAATCGCAGAAAGTGAATGAATTACCAGTTGTCTCTGTGAACACGTTCTACAACTAAATTTTATTGTTCGTAATCGTGCCAATTGCCTCTTCCTCTGCGTTGTACACATTTGATCAACGATAAATATTTACGTTTTCGACGAAACAGCTGTTTACTGTAATACAATTTTTTCAAATTTCCTATCTTCCGTCATTCCACGCAAAACGTAAACGCGAAACTTATCTCCACCCGAGCTCTACATCTTCGTTCATATTCATGTAACGAGATAGAATAATTGACAGTTGGTTTTTGCACGAATACATTTTAGTTAACGAACTGTCGAAGCTGCTTCGCGCATTTTCTTCTTCGTACGTCACAGAGTGAAAAGTTGCCGACTTAACAGGATGAGATATCGTTTTACCATTTTTTACAATGTGCATACTCGGGGTGAATTAACGAATGTAAATAGGCTGTACGGGGATCTGAATGACGGCAGAGAGGGGATCTGAAGGATTATGAAGGAAGGGACGAGAACTTCGTGGAAAATAAAGTAATTTAACAAGAGATAAGAGCGAGCGGCTCTTGCAATACGAAACTTGAACGGCTCTTGCAGATATAAAGCTTTGAATACGGGAAGCTTCGAGTACTTTGTTTGAAGAAATGATTTCGCGATCATACTGCATGCCTCATCCTCGTTCGCAAGATCGGAACAACGATGTTAATCTTTTATTGTACCTGCTGCTCGAATTTATTCATTTCGAATTAACGAATTGATCGATCTGCTGTTTCTTCAGACGAAATATCATATGTACTTCACAAATTACACACTGAAATTTGCCGAGGAGATTTAAAACTTTTCACTCGAGCGAGAAACATTTTCTTTTTAAGAAAAAAGCGTAATTAAAAATCACAAACGTTACATATAAAAGACGAAACGTAAAACAAAATAGGGCAACGTAAAGGCAGGAGGGAAAAAAGCACTAACTTGTTAAAACCAGCGCACATTTCTTCTTTTTGCTTACCGGCTTAAATGTGGTCTTTGTGAAATTAGCGAAATCTTTCTTACACAAATGCACACTGTGAATTTTTCTTCTGTTTGATTAGTCTTAGTAAATTTTTCTCGAAGCAGATTCAACGGAGATAATGTACACACGAACATATTCCTCGCGTTTCGCCTAATTCTTACTCCGTTCCTCTGCACCTTCTCTTATCTTCGTCAGATATAAATGATCTCTGCTTAGCTATTAAGCGATACACATTAAGGTTATGCTTGACCTTGTTTTTCTCTCTTCTCTTGATTTTTGCCTCGGAGAACCGTTCTCAAGTTAATATATTCAGCGAGGCGTACGCTGTTGAGAATTTCTTCTCTGGTATCCTTGTCTGCTACAGCGAGAACGGAGGAGAGAAAACTGGAGAAAAGTGGGAGAAGGGGTTATTCGCGATTATAGAATACAAGGTTGACGCGTTACTTTTCGAAGATTGCACCGTCTACGTTTCGATTAGCGGAGTTCGAGCATGAAATCGCGAGTTGAAAGTTCGCAGAACAAACCGCAAATTGGCCATACAAACTGTGTAACTGGTACAGTACACACACGGAGCGACGATACCAAACGTGATCTGTTTCGCAACTTACGTGGTCCGTCCAAGTTTTCTGGTTCGCTGTTACGTTCGAGAACGCTTAATCATATTCGAAGGATTTTGAAAACATCGCTAGCAAGTAGATTTTAAGTAGATAAAATGGTTCGTGAACTCGGCGGATCTCTTTGACGATGCTCGAATTCGAACGTATTGTTCAACCCTTTGAAACCAGATTTTTCTATTTTCACGGGAAGAATAGTTACTGTTTACGTTTTGATGGGAGAAGTAGGAATTAATAATTATTACAAAGAAATTAGTTTGTAAAAATAGGCAAATAAAGTGAGACTTGAAAAATATCAAGTGCAAAAGTTAATTCAGTGCCTTTCTTCATTATAAGTCGTCATGACTTTATTTACTAAAAATTGCCATAATTTTCTTAGAGGGGATTCGTGCGTTTTCCTATAAATGGAAGTAGGTCGTCGAAAATAACGGAGATTATTTTGAAAATTAAAATTGTGCTTGATTTCTTACAAAATGAATATCAAAGTTTGTGAAATATGTGTATCTAATAGACACATAAATACTATACAACTTTCGAGTGAGATAGTGTTATAGAGGTTTAAGTAACCGGTTGTTCAGGATATAATTCAGTTCGAGTCTAAAAAGCTTGCGGACATACACTACCGGCCAAATGCTTGGAATCACTGTGCATTGCAGGTTGCACAAAAATTCCCTAAAAAGGTTAGCATTTGTAATAATTTTCCAACGGATTGTTTATCATTCAAATCAATCGAAACGGGGTAAAGTGCTATTGATCTCCACAGTATCAATTTCAAATCAATAAAGAATGTGATTCAGCAGGTGTAAGTGCAAAGATGGTACTTTTTATGTCTATAACAATTCACAGGCAAAGTATTTTCTGCTCTTGAACGATAATGCAATCGTAGAGCAACGCGTTGTTTTTTACGACGTGAAAACGTTATCGCATGCAAAAGAGCTTGTGCATTATCCACGACCTACATCTACACGCGCACTTTCACGAAAAATACTTCTCGGCGATAGAGGAAATCCGCAAACTATCTCGTGATCCGTAGATAACGATCTCGACGATGTTCGTACTAACGAAGTCATTTCTCCTTTCTGTCAATCGGTTGTTATTCTCACTTTTTTACAGGTAATTTTTTTCACGTAAGGACGTTCTTTAAAGTTCGGTTTGAAGTTTCGATTTGTAGATAGTCCGGAGGAATATGGAAAAAGAGACACCGATAAGCCGGATTAAAAGAGCAAACGAAGCTGTACTGTGAAAAGTTCGAGAAAAGTTTTTACACATTTGTGTAACTTTGTGGTTCGTGTTGGTAAAAAATGTAACGAGAAAGATAAACGGATGTTACATTCCCCTCCTCTTTTCCGCCGAGTTATTCTCCAGGACCTTAGTTGGAACGAAAACAGCATAAATCTGACAAGGACGGCGTTTATTACACGTGTCTAATTGGATTACTAGTCTTCTGTTCGCTGAAGTATGCAGGCGGCTTTTGTTCACAATAAACGATATATCTTGCGTTAATTTTAATATTGCACAACAGAATTAAGTAAAGAATCTAACATTTTTAAATAATGAAAATTAAATAGAGAAGAAAATATTGAAAAATGATAAATTCTGTTAAATTACAGCTTTCTTAATTATCGTTAATTATAATATTGTGCAGTAATTAAAAGTATTAAGTAAAAATTAAATAATTTAAACGACAAACAACTGAATAGAGAAGAAAATATTAAAGAATGACAAAATCTGTTAAATTACAGCTTTCTTAATTATCCCACTCGAGTACAGAATGTTAAATGATATTCGTTTAAAAATTTCTCGACAAATTTTTACATTCGGCGCAACTTTAAGTATATTATGAAATGCACACGTTCTTTTACACAAAGTTTTAATTTAAATCTTCAATTGAAAGTTTTTAATTTCAGTTTTTCTTCAAGATTCCTGTATATATATAATAACTTAATTAAAAAGTTATCGCTGCGTGCTACTCCAATGTTTCATGAAGCATACTGAAATTAAGGGACACAGCGCCAACGTGTAATATCCCACGGAATAACTGCAAAGGATGTTCCTCCGGTGCAGGTAGGATTTTAAGCCTGCAAAGGCATAAATTTCTGCTTGCACTAAAGTTCCAGACATGTACAGAATAATTTATTACAGATTTCGTTTCTATATCCTCCGTTTGATCGCGTTATTTTTGATACGAGTTATAGCGTGCGCACGTGAAGCCTTTTCCATAAGAGAAAAAAGGGTGAAAACGAAAATTAAGTCTCTCGATATCTTTCGTTTCGTTAATTTCAAATGGAAAATATCGTTTCACACTCAAGTCTCTCGATATCTTTCGTTTGATTAATTTCAAGTGGAAAATTAAGTTTCGCAGATAATTTCCTGCAAATTTTGCGAAAAGCTTGTGTTGCATTGCCAAATTCTTGTTCCACTTGATTTCTTTGCTTCTTCGATAAGAACAATTATCTAACCATTTATTTAACAAGCGGTCGAGATCG